TGATTTCTTCAAACCTCAGGAAACAGTAGGGCTTGGGCCTATTTAGGGCACTTGTCTTTCTCATATCGTGAAGTAGTAGTTTAGTAGTAGTAGTAGTAGTAGTAGTAGTAGTTGTTGTTGTTGTAGTAGTAGTAGCAGTAGTAGCAGTAGCAGTAGTAGTAGTAGTAGTAGTGGTAGTAGTAGTAGTAGTAGTAGTAGTAGTAGTAGTAGTAGTAGTAGTAATATTTTACGATACGGTTGATACGCATCTTAGTGACAGGGACTCTAGACTATACTATACTGGACTTTACTGTACAATACTATACAAAACTATACTCTATATATATATATATGTATGATACTATACTGAACAGAATGGAATAGAAGATATTATGTAGGACCTTTCCAGTCCTCCTCCGGTCTCGAGGAGACGGCTGTGTACCGACCCACAAGGATTGCCATTTGGTGAGGCGCTGAGTCTTCTCGCCCGAGATTTCTTGTTTCAGGGTTCTTAGACGGATTCCTCTACCTGAGGTATTATAAGAAGGCAAGAATGCTACTAGAATGCAAGGGTTCAAGGGTTTGAGGGTCTAGGGCAACCTTCATGCGACCGTGGTTAAACAGCCTCTAGAGCCAAGCAGCGGGTTAATTAGGGCTGGGTATGGAGGCCTGAAGTAAAAGCCCGCCTCCAAGAACATCCGAGAAGTCAAGACACAAACACAGGCCATCAACAAAGAGTCCTAAACCCTCCTAAGTCGAACCTGATCCGAAAAACCCACCACGAGACTGCTACCCCCCTCCTCACCCTCCTCCTGTCACCACCCCTCTCCTCCCCCTCCCCATCCCTCGAACCGTCTCGTACCCTTCGTGCTATGAGGGAAAAAATTGCGGAACTTGTATGGCATCCATCGCAAAGCCCTAAACAATAAACCCTAAACCCTAAACCCTAATAAGGTCCGAAGAGCTCGGAGCACGCAAGAGGGCGGCACGGGGCCCACAGCACCGACGCGGTTTGTGAGCCTGAACCCGAAGGTCTAATATAGGGGCCGCCGTTTAGGATTCAGGGTATAGGGTTTAGGGTTCAGGGTTTGTTAGTTATGGTTCCTCACTATGATTATTATAGTCTAATACACCCCAAAACACTATTCTAACGATCACCGGATGTTAGGTATCGCCGAACTGTAGTTGCACTTATATCCTTAATCATATATAATAACCCAACGATTAACCCTTGCAGCAACCCTTACGGATCCTTGTCGAAATCCTATAGAAACCCTTATAGACAGCTTTAAGGAACCCCT